ACTGCTTTATCTGTAAAGAAACTACACATTTCTTGCTACTTTAGCTCATTTTTGGTGCTACTTGGGAGGCATTTCCCCTTGATTTTTCTTAGCTGAAATCCTTCCCACCTCAAGAGACATTTTCTTTAATTTGTTCTCCTTAATGTCTGTCCTCAAATGACACCAACCTGCTATTTCTGTACTGCCAAACACTTTCAGCCTCTGTGACATTCATTAGTCTGTGAATTGTCCTTTACTTCAGATATTAGTCTACATGCCTTACCACTGCCCTTACACTGACATTTCTTTAAGGGCAAGGACTGTACCCAGAAACTGATTTTTTTCACTACACATAAGCAAGTTCTAAACACTTGTCTCAGTTTTTAAAAATGATACTAAACACCAACTCATAAACCAAGTGACCTATATGTATAAATCATGACCATTTCCCCATCCTTAAAGTTCATAATTTAGATACCCCCAGGTCTACCTGGAACAAACATCACACAGGTGATATTTATTTCATACAACCATATATAAATACACATGCTTTTTCTTTCATATACATATATCCAATCATTTTATTTGTTTGTAAACATTTCTCACTATCTTTCTGTCTCTCTCTAACATGTTATCATACTTATATTTATACACATTCATACCCTTTGCCTGAGATATGTATAAATCCACAACATATTTACATATATATGTGATACACATATGAATTTTATTAATAAATATGCAAAATCACTATTAACCTCTTCCAATTTGACTGCACCCATTTTCAGATACATAAATCTGCTCAAATACATTAACAACTACCCTCAGAATGCTACATCTACATGCTTTTTATCAACTTTTAAAGCCCATGTTAGATAATACTTCCTTTTTAAGCCTTTCCTAACTTCCTGCCTCTTTTTTTCCTTCACTTTATGTTGAATTCTTTTCAATGGTCTCCGGTGTCATCTTATCCTTTGAGTCATAACACATAGCACACAATATGAAAATCGCCTATTTACATTATCTTTTTAAACATTAATGATGAATGTTTGGTTTATACTTATTTTTATAGCATCTACAATTTCAGTGGTATATGATATGAATTTAATAAACATGCTGAATATGTCAAGGCCCATTTCAAATAACTTCTTTGAATGAAGCAAGTGAATATAAAAAAATGCATGAACTTATACATTTAATATATGTGCTAAAAATAAAAGAAAGAAATGAAAGATGACAGGAAGGAAAGAAAAGAGGCAGAGAAATGACAGACAGGGGGGAGGGAAAAAAGAAGCATTTTTTTTGACTGGCCAACATTCTTTGCCAATGAGGATCCTTTCATAGTGAAATCTCAACTCCACTTCTGAATATTACATAGAACACACTGTTTCACCTTCAGTGGGGCAGTGTGTTTCTTCAACTACAATCTCCCTTCCCAATTATTTTGATTAATTTTTGGTACATTACAAACGAACCTAAGTTTTGAGTTTTGTTTTGACTGGGTTTAACATTCTCACTCTAAGTTCTCACATGGTTGCATGAAAAAAGGGGCTTCAGCTAAATTCTCAGAAAGTTCATATAGATGGAAATCATCCAATATGGTTTCTACATTGACAAGCCTGGTGCTTCACTACTCCTCCCCAGCCTCTGTCCCTTAGAATTAGCCTGAATTTCTCACCTGATGTTTTAGAACTTCAAATGATAAAAAGCAGAAGCTACTAGGCTAAATAGGATTTATATACAAGACTTATGCAGCATCACTTCTGTAGTATTCTATTGTTCAAAGCAGTCATAGAATTTGACCAAAGTCAAGGGAATGAGAAATAGACTCCTGATGGTTGCATTGCAGAAAAACATGAAGTTTAGAAGACATTGTTATGTATCTTTGGCAAAGATAGTTAGGCATAGTTTCTCTCATTTGCACCAAACATTCACACCTCCTCGAAACTTTCAAGTGTCATGCTATGTTGGCATTCATCCAAATTTTCATCGTCTAAATTATATCTGAGCTTTCCTTTGTGTGGTTCTTTGTATATAGTTCTTGAAATATGATTTCTCTTTCCCTGAATACATATTAATGGAAGAGATAAGTCATTTGCTTTTTACATTGCCAACATGCAATGTTAATACAGCAAAAGGATAACTGCAGAAACAATCTATTGCAGAGAGGGAGAAAAATGGAACATGCAGTTGCCGGTGAATAGCATACTGAAATTTAAGGCACATATTGCCAGTTTCTTGATTTGGAGTCCTATTTTGCTCCATAAGGATAATTCTTTTTCCCTCTGTGGTTCTTGGTTTTATCCTCTAGGATCTAGGCTTTATACTTTGAGTTATCACTTTTTTAAAAAGGACTCACATTTTCACTTCATCTTTCTAAGTCAATAAGTTGGGGATTACAATGATGCTTTTCATTTTTAGATGTCACTATCCTTTTCAGTCTAACCTGGCAGTTCTTCTGAATAACAAAGTGTCTTAAAAATACATCATTTTTTCCCAGAGGCCAGCTCAGCCTTTAAGTATATAATGTCTAAAGAAAAAGTGAATGAGAAAGAGTTTTGTGTTCGAACTCAGAATGACCAGAAGCCTTTATGGTTTCTCTGAGGCCTACTTGAAAGTTAAACACTTCTTTGACTCATCTTTTTCTATACATATTTTATTAGATGTGGTACTTTCAACATTCCCTGGAAATTTCATTTATCAAACCCATAGGTTCATTGGGGATATATATATATATTTTTTTTTCCTATGTGAAAAAGGGTGACAGTTTTGTTGATTGTTCCATTATTACAAAGCACATATACCTTTATTCTCTGGTACATAATAACAATTTTGTCACTCTATTTAAAGCCTTCATAAGCATTAGCACCCTTTAAGCTTCTGTACATCCTCTCAAAGCCAATGCTGCATGTTTTAGGCTTTTGTTACTGCAGAATTTAACACTTGACATCATTTTCCCTTATGTGTTTATTTTTTGTGTAATACAACGCCCCAACACTTAGTGGCTTTGAACAATAATTTATGATTTTTTTCCTCAAGTTTCCGTTGATTGCTTGGACTCAGCTGTGCAGTTCTCACTTGGAGTCCCTCAAACAGTTGCAGATAGTGTTTGGAATAGGAATCCAGGTCCAGGGACAAGGCCTCTTTTTCACTCAGATGTCAGGCACCTCAGTTCACCTCCACACTGATTCCTTTCCATCACAATAGAACTCAGGGGGTTTTTACATGGTGGCATAAGAATAAGAAGAGGTACAATATCATTTAAAGACTCTTCAAGAACTGGCACATATGGACTTCTGCTGCATTCATAGCAGTTGCCAGGTCTCAAATTTATTGAAAGATATAGACGCGTTCACTTTTTAATTTGTTGTATTTTTATTGATTTGAAAGAGATATTAATTTGCTATTCTGCTTATTTAAGCATTCATTGGTTGATTCTTATATGTGCCCTGACCAGGGATCAAACCCACAACCTTGGCATTTTGGCATATAGGGATTATGCTTTAACCAGATGAGCTACCCAGCCAGGGAGAAAACAGTTCATTCTTCATGAGGGTGTGACAAGATCACATATGAATGATATACTTATTGCCATGCTTAAAAAATATAGTTTGCAAAACATAATACAATTTTTTAATTTTACTTTCTCTCTAGGTTCTAAATTATGTTACCAAACATCTCAATCATTATTCACCAGTGGATTGCTTTTCACAATCCACACCAGTTCTCATGTATGGATATGGTCTTTTCTCAGTTTTGTGAATTAGATTTTTTCCTCTGGAGATTCCAACATAGCCAAAGCACCTGGCTTATGTATCAGAGATTATAGGGATCCATGGAGCCAGGACACATCTCTTTCTTTCCAAGACAACATCCCTTTTTCAGTGTGACACCAGTTTCCTCCCATAACTCAGGCATTTAGCTTATCTTCTGGTTCCTACTTCACAGTGAAGACTCTCAATCCCCTGCAGGTACTATTACAGAAAAAAAAATGCTAGATTGGATAAGTTTGGAGAGATAAGCCACATAGAGGAAAGAAGTACTCATTTTTCCTAAGTAAACACTCCAACAACCATCTATTTATCAATTCACATTTCCACCTACTAAAAATAATTATAGCTACAATTGGTACCTGCCAATAATAATAATATCCTTCAAAATGTGACATCTTCTACTCTCTATGCTGTGAATGAAGAGTGTCTTTATTTAGATACTATATGCAAATATATTGCAAATATATTTATTGCTGACAATGGTTTCTGATATATCTGACCCAACCCAGCCAGTGGGACTTACAACTGCTATAATATTCTTGAAACCCCACCTGCCATATAGGAAGAATGCCACCTTATAGAGGATCATTCACTCACTATTTCAAAATCTTCATTGATAGAGAGATTTTTATTCACACAAACACATTTTTACTTCAGGAGCAGTGTGTTTCCCTATAGTTCTTAGCAATAGTGAATTTCACCATTTTATAATCAACTCTTGAAATATATAAAATTTGGTGGCCACAAAAATGTAGTTTGTCTAGCACATTCTTCTCATAATTGAAGAGCCAGTCACCAAAGCATTCACATTCTGTTTTCATAATGGTAAAAATTATAAGATTTTTTAAGTAAACTTGGTCACTTTCAATTCAAGAAAAAAGTACAAATATGTTTAGTTTGTAGATGATTCACAAAGTTTTCCACCACATGAAGAAAGAAGGGTACTTTTTTTTTAGCACCAATTATGGTAGATACAAAACTATATTATTTATTATCATACCAAGATTATAAGAAAAGATAAAAGAAGAAAGGGAGAGATGGAAGATAATAGGAATTTATGATATACATATATATTTTCACTAAAATTTATCTCATATTCTGAGTGTTCTTGTTTCAGGAATATGGATTATTTAGGGAAGATCATTATAATATAAAAACTTCACCAGGATAGACATGGTACAAGATGGAGTTTCCATCTTAAACAGATAAATACATACATTTCCTATGTCATACTACAATATTTTCAGATCACTTCTGTGTGTCAGGCTTCAGGATACAAATCTGTTTGACTCTCCTGCGGATCTCTTTGGTCTTCACACCATAGACAATGGGGTTAAGTGCAGGGGGCACAAGAAGATAGATGGTAGATGATAGGATATGGGCATGGGGTGACACATGTCCAAAGCGGTGGCTGAAGAAGGAAAAAAAGGCAAGGATATAAAACTCCAGGAAGACAACAATATGGGCAGCACAGGTGCTGAATGCTTTATGTCGTGCCTCCTTCTGGGAAAGACGAAAAACAGCCTGAAAAATTAGAATGTAGGAGATCAAGACAAAGATCATGTCAAAACCTAGAATTGCAAAAGCTACAAAAAGCCCATATGACTTGTTGATATGGGCATCTTCTGCAGCCAGCTTGACCACAGCCATATGCTCACAGTAGGAATGACCAATAGCCACAGACTGGAAAAATTGTAGTCGTTTAAGTAGAATGGGCAAAATCCCAACAAGCACTGTTGTCCGGATTGCCAGCATCAGAATTGTCAGAACTAAAAAGAAAGGTGTAAGGATGGATGTGTACCTCAAAGGATCACAGATGGCAACATAGCGATCAAAGGCCATGGCCAACAGAATGCCAGATTCCATACCCTGCAAGGCATGAATGAAGAAGAGCTGGGTGAGGCAGGCATCAAAAGCCATGGAGCAAGAGCCAAACCAGAAGATGGCCAACATCTTTGGAGCAATGGCTACACAGAGACCTAGGTCAGTGGCTGCCAGCACTGCCAGGAAGATGTACATGGGTTGGTGAAGACTGCGTTCTGTAGGGATGATGATTAACAAGAAAATGTTTCCTAGAAGAGCCACCAGGCATACACCAAGAAAGGGAAATCCAATCCAAAACTGCACATGCTGTAGTCCAGGGATCCCAATCAGAATCACTGTCTTTGGGTTCAGATATGACATGTTGGTAAATTCCATCAAGTTGGTAAATCCTTTCCTCACCACTGATTCTATTACCTATTCAGAGAAAAAAAAATGGAGAGGAAAAAAGAAGGGCATGAAAAACATGATGAAAATGTGGCCTGGCCACATGACCTTGAATTTAGGGGAATCAATTTAAGTCAGTATCAAAAGAGAGTTCATGAATATATTTTCCAAAGTCAATGTGGGCATTTGTGAATGAGAAAGATAAATCCAGTGTTAGTTACCTAGAAATTGTAGAAATTGAAATTATAACAGCATTGATCTTGCTATTTTTTGAGGTGTTCTCAGACAGTGTCACGAGGAGATTTTTTTTGTTTATTTATATCCATTTTCAAACTCCAGACACATTTCAGATTAGGCAAAATTTATCTGTGACACTTGAAATTATAGATTGAATCCTTAATCTAATAGCCTTGTTCATTTTGTTCAAAGGTCAGAATATCCAGATAGTGGCTGATTTTCCCATTCTTTCCATTTTCTCCAGTATAGGAAGAAAAATACCTCCCCACAAATCTAACAAATTGACTCTCAGGGGAATGAGTAGTTTTGTTTTTCCAGAAAATAATGGTTAAGTTGCCTCTGTGCAGGCTCATTATCCTGGCTCTTGGAAGTGAGGTGGAAGAGTTATCTTTTTTTATCAGCAGTGGAGAAGCATATTTTGCTTACTAAGATAGTTCTGGACTATTAGAATAATATGTGGATGTGTAAGAGAATGGGGTAGGTGATGTAAATCCTCGCAGATCTTAAAGGAGACAGAAAGTTAAGAAGACAGATGGAAAGTTACTTTAGTTAGAAGGCAGAATCAGTTAGGATAGAATTGTAATATACACAAACTGGCCTTTTGGCTAAACCTTGTAACTTAAATATTTTTATGATATTAATGTGTTTCAGATACAAAAAAGCAGATTGACTGTGGGCCTGTCTACCATTTATAATGGAATTCAACCTAACCTAAGTTAGGCTTTCTTTTGTTTTACTCTTACAAGTTGGAAGTAAAAATAAATTCTGATATCTCTTATTATATCATTTCACTTCATTTCTGCTCTGAACTCCTGATATTCTAATAATTTCCCAATTCTTTTTCTTTAGAAGTCAACTCTTTAAAGCTTAAGATAACTTTATATGATCTCTTTTTTTATTTTTCATTAATCAATTTACACACTTAACATCATTTGAAGGTTTTCTTTTATCTTCCCTATGATTTTTTCACAGCCAAATACATTGAATAAGGAATACCACTATAAGTGGGACTTTATATACTTCTATTTAAAAGAAAACTAGAGAGATTACTGCTGTAAAGTTATAGAAAAAATACAGGTTCACAGTCAGTAGGAATATAAAAGAGGACATAATTTGAAAGTCCCCAATGTAATAAAATACTTTAATAGTTGATGAAAAGAAGGAGGTCTCATTATATGAGACTCAGTAATTACATTAATCAGTAGACTATGTCTAAGGCAATAAAGAGATATAGACTGAAATGATTAAAAATTATGTGATAATAAATTCTCTTTGTTGTCCATATAAAATGAGGTTAGGAAGGAGATTCCCTAGAAGTGATTGGGACAATTATGGATACATCTTGTTAATGTGACATAAACAGATAAAGAAATAGCTTTGATGGGTAAAAGACAATATATTCTAGATAATGATTTATAAATTCTCTGACCATGTAAAGGTAAAAGTAAAATTTAGCTCCAAGTGCACAATTATAGGTGATAATGAATTTATCAAATTACTTTTCTTCTATGTAATATTGTTTGTGTATTATATATAATAAAGGGTTTGGCAGAAGTAATACCTACTTAAGTGTGGTTGGTGGGGTAATAATATGGGTGTAATAATTTATAGTTTTAATTTGAACATTTCACCTAAAATGACATATGGTGTGCTTGAAAGTATCATATTATGTTACATAATTACATGCTTATGATTTTGTAATAAAAGATTTTGTAATAAAAAAGGGGCATGAGTGCCAGACCCTAAATATGAATGAATATATATTACATAATATATGTTGACATATATTTATATGCATAATATAAAATATAGTAACATTATTTTATAGAAATATATATTATCTCCTCAAGGCACATTATAATTAAAATGGCAAAATTTCAAGACAAACAGAGAATCTTAAAGGCAGCAAGGGAGAAACAGGAAGCAACATACAAGGGAGCCCCAATAAGGCTAACAGCTGACTTCTAAATGAAAACACTTCAAGCCAGAAGAGAATGGCAAGAAATACTCCCAGTAATGAGAACCAGAGGGCTGCAACCAAGGCTACTTTATCCAGCAAGGCTATCAATCAAGACAAAAGGCCAAATAAGAAGCTTCCCAGACAAAAGAAGTCTAAAAGAATACACCTCCACCGAACCAGCTCTGCAAGAGATTCTAAAGGGAATGCTTTAAGGAAGGGAAGGAAAAGAGAGAGGAACACACATACATAAAAGACAATGAATAAGTACGAATCAATAATAACCCTAAACGTAAATGGATTAAATGTTCCAATCAAAAGACATAGAATAGCTGAATGGATAAGAAACAATGACCCACATATATGCTGCCTATAAGAGACCCACCTCAGGATAAAAAACCTACACAGGCTGAAAGTGAAGGGCTGGAAACAAATCTTCCAAGCAAATGGACAGGAAAGAAAAGCTGGGGTAGCAATACTCATATCAGACAAAATAGACTTCCAAAAAAGGCCCATAAAGAGAGACCCAGAAGGTCACTTCATAATACTCAAGGGAAGAATCCACCAAGAAGACATAAATATTGTAATTACATATGCACCCAACATAGGAGAACCCAAATACATAAAAAAATCTTAGAGGACTTCAAGAAAGATATGGACAGCAACACAATTATAGTGGGGGATTTTAACACCCCACTGTTAAAAATGGACAGATCTTCCAAACAAAATATCAACAAAGATAATGTGGCATTGAACAATACCCTTGATGAAATGGACTTTACTGATATATACCGAGCCCTCCATCCAAAAGAAGCTAAATATACATTCTTTTCAAAAGCACATAGAACATTTTCAAAGATTGACCACATGATAGGACACAAAACAAGCCTCAAGAATTTCAAGAAAATTGAAATCATACCAAGCATTTTCTCGGACCACAAGGGACTGAAGCTAGAAACCAACTCCAAGGAAAAAAACCCAAAACACTCAAAATCATGGAGATTAAATAACATGCTGTTAAATAATGAATGGGTCAAGAATGATATTAGGGAAGAAATCAAAAGGTTTCTGGAAACAAATGAAAATGAACTCACAACAACCCAAAACTTATGGGACACAGCCAAGGCAGTCCTGAGAGGGAAGTTCATAGCGATACAGGCATACCTAAAAAAGTTAGAAACATTCCAAACAAACAACCTAACCCTACATCTACAAGAACTCGAGGAACAACAACAAAGACAGCCCAGAGCAAGCAGAAGGAAGGAAATAACCAAGATCAGAGCAGAATTAAATGACATAGAGACTAAAAGCACAATTCTAAGGATCAATGAATCCAAGAGCTGGTTCTTTGAAAAGATAAACAAAATCGACAAGCCTTTAAGCAGACTTATCAAGAAGAAAAGAGAGAAGACCCAAATAAACACAATCAGAAAAGAAAGAGGAGAGATTACAACAGATACCACAGAAATACAGAGGATTGTAAGAAATTACTGCAAAGAACTGTATGCCAAGAAATTTGAAAACCTAGATGAAATGGACAACTTTCTAGAAAAATATAATCTTCCAAAACTCAATGAAAAAGTAGCAGAAAGTCTGAACAGACCAATAACAACAAAAGAAATTGAAGCAGTAATCAAAAAACTCCCAACACACAAAAGCCCTGGGCCAGATGGTTTCACAGGAGAATTCTACAAAGCATTTAAGGAAGAGCTAAACCCTATCCTTCACAGACTATTCCAAAAAGTCCAAAAAGATGGGAGACTTCCAAACTCCATTTATGAAGCCAACATCATCCTAATTCCAAAACCAGATAAAGACACAACAAAGAAAGAAAACTTCAGGCCAATATCACTGATGAACATTGATGCTAAAATACTCAACAAAATACTGGCAAACCACATCCAACAATACATTAAAAAGATCATACACCATGACAAAGTGGGATTCATTCCAAGGATGCAAGGATGGTACAATATTCAAAAACCAGTAAATTAATACATCACACAAGCAAAAGCAAAGATAAAAACCACATGATCATATCAATAGATGCAGAAAAAGCATTTGATAAGGTACAGCACCCATTCATGATAAAAACACTGGGCAAAGTGGGAATAGAGGGAGCATTCCTCAACATAATAAAGGCCATATATGAGAGACCTACAGTGAACACTCACTCAATGGGCAAAAATTAAAATCTTTTCCACTGAGATCAGGAACAAGACAAGGCTGTCCACTTTCACCACTTCTATTCAATATAGTACGGGAAGGTTTGGCCACAGCAATCAGACAAGAAAAAGAAATAAAAGGCATCCAAATTGGAAAGAAGGAAACAAAACTGTCACTGTTTGCAGATGACATGATAATGTACATAGAAAATCCTATAGACTCCACCAAAAAATTGCTTGACCTAATAAATGAATTTGGCAAAACAGTGGGATACAAAGTCAATATCGAGAAATCAAGGGCATTTCTGTACACTAACAATGAAACAGCAGAAGCAGAGATCAAGGAAAAAATCCCATTTGAAATAGCAAAAAGAAAAATAAAATATCTAGGAATAAACCTAACCAAAGAGGTAAAAGACCTGTATTCAGAAAACTACATAGCACTCAGGAAAGAAATCAAGGAAGACACAAACAAATGAAAACATATACCGTGTTCATGGATTGGAAGAATTAATATCATCAAAATGTCCATACTACCCAAAGCAATTTACACATTCAATGAAATTCCTATTAAAGTACCAATGGCATATTTCACAGACATAGAACAAACACTTCAAAAATTTATATGGAAT